GAGGAAGTTTGTAATTAATTTTGATAAAATGACGTTTGGGAACAACAAAGCCCAAGTTCTGATAACTTTTAAAAGAGAGGTTGAACTAATTAGGTGTCATCAAGCTGAAGTCAAAGTGACTGAAGGAGTTGATGATGGTGAAATGGAACCAGGAATAGATATTAAATCAGAGCATGAAGCCACAGGATACACTCCAGCAAAGTTAATGTTTGGTCGGGAACTTCGGTTGGCAGTGGATCTGTTAACAGGTCGTCCACCTTATGAAGAGTTGCTTGAAAATGTGTCAGAGATTGTGAAAGTGTTATCGGAAAGGATGGATGATATTCACCATCAAGTGCATTCAAACTTGAGAACGTCTGCTGATTTGATGAAGTTATCTTATGATAAGAGATCTACTGAAGTCAGCTTTGTACCAGGAGACAAGGTGTGGTTGTATAATCCCAGGAAGACCAAAGGGAAGTCTCCTAAGTTGTCTTCTCCATGGGAAGGCCCATATGACATAGTGGATCGTCTCCCAGACGTGACATTCCGGATAAAATGTGGTCGGCGAAGTAAGCCAAAAGTGGTGCATGCCAACAAGCTTTGGCGTTATCATGGTCCAGGACATTTCAGTTAGGACGAAGTGGAAGACAGAACAAATGATGCTGCTGAAGACGTGTCACCTGAAAAAGCCATTGTCGAAGAAGAAACTCTACTCAGTTTTGAGAAGGGAAACAGTGAAGCCCTTGATGAAGTTACTACCACTGATGTGACTATTACCGATGATAGGATGAACACCACATGAAGCAGAAGCCAATGAGGCGGAGGCCAGTACGGAAGAAGATACGTCCCGTAAAATTAAGAGACTGTTGAATTGTAATTTTGTGTTTGTAATTCTGTACATTTAATTAAGTTATTGTTAATTGTTTATTGGTTTAAAGTAAGTGGCTATTATTCGGGACGAACAATACTAAAGAAGGGGCAGTGTTACGACAGCGGAAGTCACGTGACGCTAGTAACACGTCATTGACTTCTAGAAATATCCTGTTCCTTCATGAATGCTCCAGCGTTTGCTAGATATGCGTTAGTCTTGTATATATAAGACGGTCACAACGTGACGGATCAATGTGTAATTGAACTGCGGACAGAGTATTGTTGAGTTGAGCACGTGAGACGTTCGTTGTGAATTATAGCGTTTGTTATAGCGCGACTGTGGAAATTAAGTGTATTGCAAAGTTGTATTCAGAAAGAATAAACCAGTTTTATTTAAGAAAGGACTTGTGTCGCTAAAGTTTCGTCGGAACGAAATTTACGGAAAATTAACTAACGAACGGAGACGTAACAATAATTTGTAATTTTCGTTAATTTGTTTTAAATTAATCTTCTTTTCCATAGTTAGGTATTAAAATTAATCGAATGAATTTCAAAAGTAATAACACAGGAAAGGTGTTCGAAATTTATATAAAGAGGTGTTTTGAATTGATAATAGTAGCTTTGTGTATTTTCAGGATTTTTATGCACACTAGGTTTTTGAAAATCTTTGAGAGTACTTTGATCCGGATGTTGATGATAACTACTAGATTCAGGTAACATTATTCTAATTATTATTAATAGTATTATTAAATTTAACAACTATTGAAAATAATTATTATGTCTGAAAGCTAGTTGTTTTCGAAAGCTTACTAAAGCGATCTTCTTTTAAAAATTTTGATTAAAAATAAATTAACTTGTATTTTTTCTTGATGTAACAATTTTTTAGTAAACAGAATGGAGAATTAGAATTTAGAATTGTCAACAAGAAGCCTAGCGACTACTGTATTTTGTATATAATTATGCTCAGCGTCTGTAAGCACTTATATTGTAAATTTATGATTAAATACTTCATCTTATTTTTAACGTGGTCATGAAACCAATCATTAGGTTTTGTTATGAAAATTTACGTAAGTGCAAAAAATGAAGTTTAATTCTGAGTGAAAGCAAAGAAGAATATAATGTCTCAACCACGCTACATGAGCATCCACTAATTCAGTGCTGACGAGGCTTTTCGCCCAATTTTATTTTTAGGGCTCATCAAACCGGCTGAGATACAACTGGCATAATAGTGGCCTAAGCGCTACATCATAAGTTTAAAATAGTTTTTCTCTATTTGTGACATAAATATTAGGCCTTAACTTTAAGGCTTAAACCTAATTAATGGCGGCATTAATTCAATATGATTATGAAAATGTGCCCATTGTATTTATTAATATTAATTTATTTTATATATAATAATAATAATCTATAGACTTTTGTTTTTGTGTTCTGGTTCAGGCAGTTATTTATTTTTATTATTTATTAGGATTTATTTTTATGCTAGATCAGGACTGATTAACCAAATTCAGACTGGATCTGCTTTTGGTATTGAAGACAGTGTCTTGTTTATTGCTTACTTAACCTAGAAGTAGAATTTGAACTTTATCCTACTGTAACACTAACAGTGTTTCCTCTATACTTGTATTGGAATGTTTTGTTTTTAAAATGATACATCTAGAAAATGAGATGGACCAGATACATGACAAAAATAAATTAAAAACAGATTAAGAACCTAAATTTTGAGCTAAACTAACTTTGAAAATAAAAAACAAGGTTAAAAGAAATTAAATATTGAAACATTTTCATGAGTTAACTAAATATCATTAATGTGATTATGCTTTTTTTTGTGTTGTATTATCTGTACCATCCAACTTCCTGACTGTAGTAAAGCATTAGCATATGGCAGTTAGAAATATCTTTTAGGAGCATTTTGGAAAAGAGTAGATTAGAAGCATAAACCAAAGGAACTGGACAGGAATTGGGTAGAGTTAAAGGCTGCTATTATGGAGGGTGAACATAAGAGTGCTGATGGGCTTACAATAGTACACAGTAGTTGAAAATTTAAGTCTACAAAGACAAATTCAGTTAGCATTTAAGTACCAGTCTCAAATAGATTTTATCTTTGGCAGCTTGAAGTGAGAAATGAGATGATCAAAAGGTTTACCTAATGAGGGATTTTTGATAGATATACTAATAAAGTTATTTGTAGTGGGGAGCATAGAAACACCGAGGAATATAATTTATTTGTGCAGGATATTATAGAGTATGTTGACAGTTTGGTTGTTTGTGCCGAAAAAGTTATTTTTTTGTAGTCCATGTAGGAGCAAATGATGTTAGGAATTTTTAGTCAGAAGAGCAGGTAAAGAAGTTTAAAAACTGCTCATGAGGTTTATGAATAGATGTGTGGCCCTTTCAGAAGTGCTCCTTAGGATTAGATACATGAATTAATTACTTTGTAGGATTCAAGGTTTAAATGAAAGGTTATGAAGGATATGCCTAGAGCAATAAGTGTGCTGGTTGGACCTGTGTGTAGTGTGAGAAGTTGGTTAATACACACATGCATGATTACATGTAACAATTCAAGAATAGTGTACTCTTCATTTATCTGTTCCTTTACTTTGTTTATAAAATTTAATTTATTTTTATTATTTAATATTTGTAGATTTAATCACCAATTGTAAGTTTTATTACTAAAATTAATTATTATTGATGCTTATTATTTCTAATAATAATTATAATTATATATTTCTGATAATTTGAGGCACATACTTTTTTGATAGTTGAATGTGGCTAATCAAGTAAACTAATGCAGCTAGTATGTGATCTCCACAGGCTGAGGTTTTATCATTTAATAACCAGGTAATTTGAAGAAATGGGTGCCTGGAGTCTGGGATTAGGAAATTTGAATAACAATTTAATAAATTGTCTTAGAGATAAGTCTGTCAGATTTAAAGATAAATGTGGTAGAAGTAAGAATAAGCCTAGTTTCCATTATTCTAAAATTAGGACTATCACAAACAAAATAGATGAATTCAGGGTTCTATTTGAAAAATATAATTATGCTATGATGGAGCTTACTGAAATTTGGCTATATTTGGAGAATGTTGATAATATTTTTGCAATTCTGTGTTATAAATTGTTTAATAGTGACAGACAGGTAGCTGTGCATACAAGGGATAAACTGCAGTCTGCTAGGATTGAAGACAAAAAATAGTTGAATCTATATGGATTACAGTCAGATATTTCAAGGGTAGCAAGTTGTTAATTGGCAATTTTTATACAGACCACGTGATCATAAAAATAAGTTCTGTTCACATAAATAACTATTCTCATTCAATGCTGCCTTCTTTTTGCAAATCTTTTTTTTACACATGCCACAAGCATTTTTTCACCCCTCCATTAGAATTGATTAATTCCAATGCACTTCTGATGCAAATCATCATCGTACGACAACCCTCCACCAATAAGAATGCGAAATACTCTCATTACGCATGTGACTCCTGCTATTCAATTCTACCTAACTATCACTTCTCGTTTGGTAGTACTCATGTTTAGATGTTTTTTTGCTTTTTGGTGCTTTTCATGTAATTCTCACTCGTAAATTTAATAGTTTCAATTCTGAAGTGGGATTTCTTCATTAATTTTTTGCATTATATTGAAGATGCCTTTTACTTGGATTTAATTTTCCAGTCTTTATTTTTTCTCTCACATCTGCATTTGTCTGTCAAACATTTTTGTTTGATTCATATTTCTGAAATGAATTCTAGGTTCATGTTACCACTTTGGGTATCATACTTCCTACAGACTGCAGGTGGGGGTAACCCATCATTGGATTTATCAACGATTACCCTGCAAGAGATTGATCACTATATGGGTCAACCACCTTCTCCTGAACTTGCCCCACTTCTTTCTGCCCAAGCGAAACCTGTTCGGGCTGATGAAAATTTTGATAGCCATTTTTTCCACCACTGAATTTTGCAGTGTCTTCTTATGCCCAACCTACAGAATCAGCTAGGCTTAATATGCAGTTGGAGTCTATTTTACCTGTGTGGGAGGCAGTCCTTGATTTTCCTGTTCATTTAACCCAAGCCCAGTTTCCATGCCTTTGTCTTACCCTTACTTCACTTCTGCAGTATTTATCTCCCATCCATCTCCTTTCCGAGGTGATACAGTGAGATCCTGAGTGTTTTTTGAGGGACAGCCTCTCCCTTATTACCTACATGTTGGCTCGTTTTTCATCTTTGGCTATTGCTTTAAACACGTGGTTTCTCTGTTGCAATGCGACCTTGTCCCCGGTTCATTTGCTGACCACTTATGTATGGCCCTTTTCTTTGGTGGTATGTTTTCGACCAGGTACCTGAGACTTTGGAATCACGTGTGGAGTCTATGTGTCTATACTTTCCTATTTAGTAGCTCATTTGTAGCAGTTGGAACCACAAAAAAACCTATTCCTGTTTCCTATCCTAGTCCTTCTCAGCCCTTACCTGTTCCTCCCTACAGGGTTTCCTCACCTCATCGTTTCATTCGACGTAGATGGGCACGGCACCAACAGTACCGGTTCCAGTCTGGTGGGAGCTCGATTGGGAGAATGTATTCCCTTTGGTGATCTTTTGCCACAGATCAATGGGTTATTCAGGTTTTATCAGAGGGGCTTGTTCTCCAATCCCCCCCCCTCTCCTTTGTCTTGGGTACCTATTTCCTATGTCTTATGGTCCTACAACCTACCAGCATCTGTCAGAGGCAGTACAAGATCTTTTGTCTCAACAGGCCATTGAACCTGTTCATCATCTTTCTCCAGGCTGTTTGTTGTCCACAAGAAAACTGGAGACTGGCGGCCTATAATAGATTTGTCCCACCTCCATCAATTTCTCAGTCTACTCTGTTTTACCATGGAATCGTTTTTCAGCCTCAGGTGGGTTTTTTCTCCATGTTTGTGGATGAACAAGATGGACATCGTGAATGGTTACTTGCACATCCTGATATCTTGTCAGTCACGAATGTATCTTCAGTTTGTTCATCATGGGTGTGTTTTATCAATTTCACGCACTGCCTGTCGGGCTTGCTTCAGCCTTGTATATATTTTTTTTATCGGGTGGTAAGACCGTTTGCTCATCACCTACATGCTCTTGAGTTGCGCTTTCATCATTATATGGATGACTAGCTACTGTTAGCTCATTCCGAACAGAAGTCTGTCTGTCACACTCATCAGCTGCTCCTGGAGGTGGCTCGAGTGAGCTGGTTATTCAAATTGGAGAAGTCATTCCTGCAATATCTTGTCTATTTGGGTGTTTTTTCAACACCCATCTCAGTAAGGCCCAACCTTCTCCTCTTCGACTTTGTTCTATAGAGCTTTCAGTTCTCCATGCTCTTACTGCTCCCTGTATTACAGCTTGTGAGGTTCTATTGTTTTTGTGGGTGTGGTCTTCCATGGCAGCTTTTATCTCCTTAGGTCATGCTCATATATGGGCTCTTCATGACCAGTGGAATCTTGCATGGGATCCTTTGCAGACTCTTATTACCCTTCCTCCTACCCTAGTTGATGATCTGCAATGGAAATTGGACAAGAATTGCATGTCAGTGGATGTTCTGATTCCTCCTCTTCATCCAGATTTACACATTTCCATGGACGCATCCTTTCAGGGATGGAGGAGCATGGGTCGATCAACAGGAAGCTTCGGGGTATTGGTCTGTGGCCAAAAGATCTTATCAACATCGTGGAGCATCTTGCTGTACATTAGGCTCTGGTTTATTTTCCCCATCTGGCCAGAAATTGTCTGGTAATGAGCCATTCTGACAATTCTACAGTGGTTGCTTATCTCAATCACTAGGGTGGCACCCATTCTTGATCCCTCTGTTTTCATACATTGGATCTTCTTTTTTGGGCCCACATGCAAGATATTCATATTCCAATGGAGTGGTCTCTCGATCCTCTTGTTTTCCATTGGCTTTGCCTTCAGTGCACTACTCTTCACATAGATGCTTTTGCCACATCCCCCATCCACAAATTACCTCTGTTTTGGTCTCTGATCCCTCATCCTCTTGCTCTGACTGTCAATGCCTTTAGCCAGGATTGGACCAACAAATACCTATATGTTTATCCTCCTATTTAACTTCTTCACCAAGTGATTTTGATCATCCATACCACTCTGTGTCAAGTCCTTCTGATTGCTCCTTACTTCTCCAGCAACAGCTAACCCCTCCAATATTTCTTTCTCTGTCTCCCTCCGTTCTTCGTCAACCTCAGTCACCGGTGCTTCATCCATCTCTTCGTG